GGCACGGACGAATGGTGCAAGAAGATACGAACCTTGCCGTCATCGCAGCGTTTATACCCGAAGGTGTACTCGACTTTGGATTTCTCTCCAGTTGTTGCGCAGGTGAAGTAGTAGTTGCCCATGGCGATGGCGACATTGATCTTGAGTGCGATCTGGTGGTTGTCGTACACGCAATCTGACCAGCCCTTGCCGCCATTGATCGCAAAACCACCGTCCTCAGCGTACCCATTATCGACAGCCTTGCAGCCGACAAAATAGGACATGGCCTCTTCGGCCTTAGGCCGGAACTGGTGCTCGGCAGCCTTGGTCGGCTTGAAAAGCACGTCGTACCTGCCGTAGGCGTACAGCTCACCAGCTGCGGTAGCAGCGGCCTTGACAAAGTCGCCATTCTCCTTGTAGATCTTCGAAATGTTTTTGATCGCGCCCGCCCATGCGTTCTGCACAGCGATGACGTCTTCCCGTGTGACCGCTGCTGTGCTGACCACCATATGTCCCTTGGGGTCCGCTGCTTGACTGGAGACGGCGTACGGCACGGACGAATGGTGCAAGAAGATACGAACCTTGCCGTCATCGCAGCGTTGATAGCCGAAGGTGTACTCGACTTTGGATTTCTCTCCAGTTGTTGCGCAGGTGAAGTAGTAGTTGCCCATGGCGATGGCGACATCGATCTTGAGTGCGATCTGGTGGTTGTCGTACACGCAATCCGACCAGCCCTTGCCGCCATTGATCGCAAAACCGCCGTCCTCAACATACCCATTATCGACAGCCTTGCAACCGACAAAATAGGACATGGCCTCTTCGGCCTTAGGCCGGAACTGGTGCTCGGCAGCCTTGGTCGGCTTGAAAAGCACGTCGTACCTGCCGTAGGCGTACAGCTCACCAGCTGCGGTAGCAGCGGCGTTGACATAGTCGCCATTCTCCTTGTAGATCTTCGAAATGTTTTTGATCGCGCCCGCCCATGCGTTCTGCACAGCGATGACGTCTTCCCGTGTGACCGCTGCTGTGCTGACCACCATATGTCCCTTGGGGTCCGCTGCTTGACTGGAGACGGCGTACGGCACGGACGAATGGTGCAAGAAGATACGAACCTTGCCGTCATCGCAGCGTTGATAGCCGAAGGTGTACTCGACTTTGGATTTCTCTCCAGTTGTTGCGCAGGTGAAGTAGTAGTTGCCCATGGCGATGGCGACATTGATCTTGAGTGCGATCTGGTGGTTGTCGTACACGCAATCTGACCAGCCCTTGCCGCCATTGATCGCAAAACCACCGTCCTCAGCGTACCCATTATCGACAGCCTTGCAGCCGACAAAATAGGACATGGCCTCTTCGGCCTTAGGCCGGAACTGGTGCTCGGCAGCCTTGGTCGGCTTGAAAAGCACGTCGTACCTGCCGTAGGCGTACAGCTCACCAGCTGCGGTAGCAGCGGCCTTGACATAGTCGCCATTCTCCTTGTAGATCTTCGAAATGTTTTTGATCGCGCCCGCCCATGCGTTCTGCACAGCGATGACGTCTTCCCGTGTGACCGCTGCTGTGCTGACCACCATATGTCCCTTGGGGTCCGCTGCTTTACTGGAGACGGCGTACGGCACGGACGAATGGTGCAAGAAGATACGAACCTTGCCGTCATCGCAGCGTTGATAGCCGAAGGTGTACTCGACTTTGGATTTCTCTCCAGTTGTTGCGCAGGTGAAGTAGTAGTTGCCCATGGCGATGGCGACATCGATCTTGAGTGCGATCTGGTGGTTGTCGTACACGCAATCCGACCAGCCCTTGCCGCCATTGATCGCAAAACCGCCGTCCTCAACATACCCATTATCGACAGCCTTGCAACCGACAAAATAGGACATGGCCTCTTCGGCCTTAGGCCGGAACTGGTGCTCGGCAGCCTTGGTCGGCTTGAAAAGCACGTCGTACCTGCCGTAGGCGTACAGCTCACCAGCTGCGGTAGCAGCGGCCTTGACATAGTCGCCATTCTCCTTGTAGATCTTCGAAATGTTTTTGATCGCGCCCGCCCATGCGTTCTGCACAGCGATGACGTCTTCCCGTGTGACCGCTGCTGTGCTGACCACCATATGTCCCTTGGGGTCCGCTGCTTGACTGGAGACGGCGTACGGCACGGACGAATGGTGCAAGAAGATGCGAACCTTGCCGTCATCGCAGCGTTGGTAGCCAAAGGTGTACTCGACTTTGGATTTCTCTCCAGTTGTTGCGCAGGTGAAGTAGTAGTTGCCCATGGCGATGGCGACATGACCATTGAGGTCGATCTGGTGGTTGTCGTACACGCAATCCGACCAGCCCTTGCCGCCATTGATCGCAAAACCGCCGTCCTCAACATACCCATTGTCGACAGCCTTGCAACCGACAAAATAGGACATGGCCTCTTCGGCCTTAGGCCGGAACTGGTGCTCGGCAGCCTTGGTCGGCTTGAAAAGCACGTCGTACCTGCCGTAGGCGTACAGCTCACCAGCTGCGGTAGCAGCGGCCTTGACATAGTCGCCATTCTCCTTGTAGAGCTTCGAAATATTTTTGATCGCGCCCGCCCACGCTCTCTGCACAACGATCACATCTTCCCGGGTGACGTCGGCCCCCGCCGCCCCAACAACGCCGGCCCTTGCCGCTCCCACGACTTCCGTTGCCGGGGGTTTGGGCCTGGACTTACACAGACCGAACATGACGAAAGCTCGGCTGGCGAGACAGCAATAAACCAGTGGCACAATGGCTGCGTGTCAACTACACTTGAGCAAAAATAGCTTGAGCCAAGACGCTCAAGATAGCCCCCGAACGGCCCAAGAGGCCTCCAAGACGCCCCAAGAGATCCCCAAGAGGCCTCTCAAGTGGGCCCAAAGAGGCCAAAATCATTGATGCTCCTTCAGTTTTTGAAAAACGTTGGCGTTCGCGCCGTTTCGGCTTTCCGACGCTCCAAGACGGCCCAACAGGCCCCGAAGATCACCCCAAGAAGACGGTCCAAGAGGCCTCCAAGTGTGCCCCAAGAGGCCTAAGAGCGCCCCAAGACGGCCCCAAAGGATCCCAAGAGAGGGAACATGAACCGAAAATCCAAGCCTTCCGCCCCAAGGTCCCCAGGAGGCCCTAAGAGGCGCCCAGGAAGCCCCAAGAGGCCCCCAAGAGGCCCCTAAGAGGCCCCCAAGAGGCCCCCAAGAGGCCCATAAGAGGCCCCAAGAGGCTTCAAGACGGCCCCCAAAAGGCTTCCAAACGGCCCCCGAGACGCCTCCAATCTGCCTCCAAGAGGCTCCCGAGAGGCCTCCCGCGAGATTCCAACGAACGTCCAATAGGCTTCATACCCACACCCCAGGCACGGTGGCGAGATGAGCCGAAGGCCATGAGATCCGCCACCCCCTTTTGATTATCAAAGGGGTGCCTGGCGTGCCGGACGATATGGCTTTTGGTTTTGGTTCTTTTTCCAAAATAACTCCCCCTGGGGCTCCGGCGCGTCCCGCCAGCCACCCAGAAGACCCAGTTGCAAACGGTTTTCCTGCCCCAGACGGCCCCAAGATGGCCTCCAAGACGGCCAAGATGCCTCCAAGACGGCCAAGATGGCCTCCAAGACGGCTCAGATGGCCATGGCCCCAAGATGCCTCCAAGACGGCCCAAGATGTTCCCTGGACGGCCTAAGATAGCCTGAAGATGGCCCAAGACGGCCCAAGAGGCCCCCAAGAGGCCTCCAAGACGGCCCAAGAGGCCTCCAAGAGGTCCTCCAGGAAGGCCCGAAGAGGCCAAAATCTTTAATTTTGTTTGCGGTGTTTGAAGGATTTTGACATTTGCTTCTTCTCGGCATTCCGACGGCCCCAGAGGGCCCAAGAGACCCCCAAGATCGCCCCAAGATCGCCCAAGAGGCCTCCAACAGGGTCTTGTGACGGCCCAAGAGGCCTCCAAGACGGCCCCAAGAGGGCCCCAAGACGGCCCAAGAGGCCTCCAACACGCCCAAGACGGCCTCCAAGACGGCCAAGATGGCCTCCAAGACGGCCCCGAAGCGCCCCAAGAGGGCCCCAAGTCGGCCCAGAAAGGCCCCCAAAACGGTTCCCGACGGCGTCAAACGTGCCAGGAACCCACCAAGATGGCCGAAGTTGGCTCGAAGCTGGCCCAAGAGGCCTCCAAGAGGCCCCCAAGAGGGCCTCCAGGAAGGCCAGAAGAAGCCAAAAACATTGATGTTCCTTAGGTTTTCGACGGATTTGGGCATGTGCTTCTTTTCGGCCTTCCGACGGCCCGAGACGGCCCAAGAGCCCCCAAAGATCGCCGAAAGATCGCCCAAGAGCCTCAAAAATGGCCCCAGAACGGCCCAAGAGGACCCCAAGACGGCCCCAAGAGGCCCCCAAGACGGCCTCAAGAGTGCCCAAAGACGGCCCAAGAGGCCTCTAAGACGACCAAGGAAGCCTCCAAGACGGCCCTGAAGCGCCCCAAGAGGGCCCCAAGTCGGCCCAGAGAGGCCCTCAAGACGGCTTCCGACGACGTCAGACGGGCCAGGAGCCCACCAAGACGGCCCAATAAAGCTTTAAGATGCCCCAAGACGGCCCAAGACGGCCCAAGAGGCCTCCAAGAGGGCCTTCAGGAAGGCCCGAACAAACCAAAATCAGTGACTTTCCTTCCTTAGATGTTTGAAGGATTTGGGCATGTGCTTATGTTCGGCCTTCCGACGGCCCGAGACGGCCCAAGAGCCCCCAAAGATCGCCGAAAGATCGCCCAAGAGGCCTCCAGGATGGCCCCAGAACGGCCCAAGAGGCCCCCAAGACGGGCCAAGAGGCCACCAAGACGCCCAAGATGGCCTCCAAGACGGCCCTGGAGCACCCCAAGAGGGCCCCCAGCCGGCCAAGAAACCCAGGGAGGCCCCCAAGACGGCTTCCGACGGCGTCAGACGGGGCAGAAACCCACCAAGACGGCCCAAGATGGCTCTAAGATGGCCTAAGACGCCCAAGAGGCCTTCAAGAGGTCTCCAAGACGGCCCAAGAGGCCTCCAAGAGGGCCTCCAGGAAAGCCTGAAGACACCAAAATCAGTGGTTTCCCTCCGGCTGTTGACGGATGACGGGAAGCGTCTTCGAGGTACGAGAAGCAAGCGGGACGTTCTGGCTGAATCCTTGAGTAAATATATATATATATATATATATATCTTTATATCTATGGGTTGCCGCGCCGCACGGGATTTTTCGTTGGCGGATTCCCCAAAATGGCCATTTCGCTCGAGACATCCTCCAAAAAATCGAGGTGTGGTCTGCCGTGCTCCTGTGTGGTCTGCCGTGCTCCTGTGGTCTGCCGTGCTCCCCACAGGAGCACGGCAGACCGGCGTAGGAACCGAGAGGAGCACGGCAGACCAAGACGAGGAGCACGGCAGACCAGGCACCAAGAGCGCCCTCAAGACGACGGAAAGGATGACCAAGACGAGGAGCACGGCAGACCAAGACGAGGAGCACGGCAGACTATGCCCTAAGAGTGCCCTCAAGACGGCCGAACAATCATCAAACAAACAATGAGTCTAACGTCGTCTTGGAAACGTTTCTGAGGGCATCAGTACGGCCCCCCAAAAACAAATGTCCTGTGTGGTCTGCCGTGCTCCTGTGTGGTCTGCCGTGCTCCTGTGTGGTCTGCCGTGCTCCTTCTTGGTCTGCCGTGCTCATGTGGGGTCTGCCGTGCTCCTGTGCGGTCTGCCGTGCGAACGTGTGGACTGCCGTGCTCATTTGGGGTCTGCCTTGCTCCTTTGTGGTTTGCCGCGCTCCTGTGTGGTCTGCCGTGCTCCTGTGTGGTCAGCCGTGCTCCTGAGGCGTCTACGGTGCTCCTTTGGGGTCTGCCGTACTCATTTGGGGTCTGCCGTGCTCCTGTGGTCGGCCGTGCTCATTTGGGGTCTGCCGCGCGCCTGTGAGATCTGCCGTGCTCCTGTTGGGGAAACGCCAGCGGCGTTCGGGGTACAACAAAAAGGCGCGTTTATGTTGTACCCGCGCGCGGTCTGCCGTGCTCCTGTGGGTTCCGCCGTGCTCCTGTGGCGTCTGCCGTGCTCCTGTGGCGTCTGCCGGGCTCCTGTGTGGTCTGCCGTGCTCCTTTGTGGTCTGCCGTGCTCCTGTGGAGTCTGCCGTGCTCCTGTGTGGTCTGCCGTGCTCTTGTGGTCTGCCGTGCTCATTTGGGATTTGCCGTGCTCATGTGGGGTCTGCCGTGCTCCTGTGTGGTCTGCCGTGCTCCTGGCGTTTGCCGTGCTCCTGTGGGGTCTGCTGTGCGAACGTGTGGTCTGCCGTGCTCCTGTGGGGGTCTGCCGTGCTCCTGTGGTCTGCCGTGCTCATTTGGGGTCTGCCGTGCTCGTGTGTAGTCTGCCGTGCTCCTGTGGGGTCTGCCGTGTTCCTGTGTGGTCTGCCGTGCTCCTGTGTGGTCTGCCGTGTTCCTGTGTGGCCGTTTCGCTCGGGACGTCCTCAAAAAATCGGCTCCGGAGGGGACTCCGAAGCAGCATTATCTTGGAATCGCTCCCGGAGGGCCTCCAAACGGCCCAAGAAAGCCCCCGAAGGCCCCCCAGAGGACCCCCAGAGCGCCCCAAGAGACCCCCAAGAGGCCCCCAAGGGGCGGCCAGAGGCCCGCCAGAGCGCCCAAAACGCCCCAAGAGACCCCCAAGAAGCCCCCCAGGGGCTCCAAAGAGGCGGCCAGAAGTCCCCCAGAACGCGCGAAAAGGCTCCAGGAGTTCCCTGAGAGCTTCATATCGCCCCATAGAGCCCCCGAAGGCCCCCCCCGGGACTCCCCCAAGAGGCCCCCGAGAGGCCAGAGGCTACGACAGCCCCAAGAGCGTCCAAGATACCTCCAAGACGGCGCCGAAGCCAGGAAACGCAACAGGGATGTTCTCTGACGTTCTCGCCAATACGGTCTCTGACGCACGTGGTGGATAAAAAACTGCGCTTCCCGTTCTTGTCCGGTCAGGTTTTGGCATTTGCGACTTTTCGGCCTTCCCGAAAGATCGCCCAGGAGGCCTCCAAGATGGCCCCAGAACGGCCCAAGAGGCCCAAGACCAAGAGGGCCCCCAAGTCGGCCCAGAGAGGCCCCCAAGACGGCTTCCGACGGCGTCAGGCGGGCCAGGAATGCCCTAAGACGGCCAGAGAGGCCCCAGAGAAGCCCTCAAAGACCCCAAAAGGCCCAAGGAGGCCCCCAAGATGCCTCCAAGAGCCCCCCCCCCCGGGAAGCTCCCAGGAGACCCCAAAAGTGCCCCCGGAGGCTCCCAACATGCCCCCTCCTGTTCCTGATCCTCCTCCTCCTCCTCCTCCTCCTCCTCCTCCTCCTCCTCCTCCTCCTCCTCCTCCTCCTCCTCCTCCTCCTCCTCCTCCTCCTCCTCCCCCTCCTCCTCCTCCTCCTCCTCCTCCTCCTCCTCTTCCTCCTCCTCCTCCTTCTCCTCCCCCTCCTCCTCCTCCTCCTCCTGGGCACAGTCCAGAGGCGACGACAACGTCTATCACCTCCTCGATATAACTACGCAGCCGAAGGCGCACCTTGCAACCGCCTCCAGCTGCATACATCGGACGAGCCTCG